TATACAGAGTGTCCCAAAAATGTCTCGCAATACGAAAGTGGTGGGTTCGTCAGGCCATTTGAAGCAACTTTTTCCTTTACGAAAATTTTCTCCGAGGCACCGTTAACGAGTTATCAACGAAAAACAGTGACCAATGAGAGGCGAGCTCGGCTGGCGCGAGGCGATCGAGCCAATGAGCGGAACTGGGCTTCGCGCGCTGGTTGGCTGGGCCGCCTCGCGTCAGCCGTACTCGATTCTTATTGGTCACTGTTTTTCGTTAATAACTCGTTAACGGTGCCTCGGAGAACATTTTTGTAAAGGAAGAAGTTGCTTCAAATGATCCGAGGAACCCGCCATTTCCGGATTGCGAGACATTTTTGGGACACCCTGTTGACTGTTGTAAATCGATGCGAAGACAAAAGAAGCGTGAAACAATGCACATGAAGACGATTATTTGGTTCAAATGATGAGCGAGTGAGCTTCTAGAGCAAGCCACTATAGTGGCGCGTCGTGCCTAAAAGGTTGATAACTAGACAGCGAACTTTTATCTAATATAAAAATTGTTTGCATCGATTGCAAGATCCTGGAACTACATAAACATTTATTTCTTTTCTTAATCATTTTAATATGTGGATAGTAGCACAAATAATATTTTCAAATTCTTCGAATGTGTTGTGATTTTGTTATTTTACATTTGATCTGCTCATTTTCATATTTAATTTTACTTATTTTTATATTTAATTTACATATTTATATTCGCATAAAATACGATAATAAATTCCTGGAAGTATAGATTTTCTCCATCTTGTCACCATGAGTATAAATTTTCGGAAGAGGAGATCACCAATTTTCAACAACCATAAAAACGAGATACAAGACTCAAATAATCGTCTCTCCTCTTTCAAAATTGTCCATTTCATTTTCCAATCCGAGCGCGAATTAGGGAGAAATTATTGTGCTCTAAGCATGGTGCAAGGATTACTGCGTTAATAACTCCCGAGCAAGTAGCAGCGCGAGTGAAGTGTGAAACTTGTCACTTTTCTGCGGCAATAATATTCCTTTAACTTTGTTATTTCTGTTGACTAAAAAAAATGAATATATCGTACACCTTGGTGTACTTACCTGGAAGTCGCTTACTTCTCGGTCTTCCGGCGTCGCTCGAATGGGGAATCACGAGACGGTAACTTTTTCACGTGTTTTCGCAGGTGGAAGGTGCTGCAAGTGGCGGTTGACGAGCGTTACAAGTTGCTAAGCGGATTTGGAAAGGATGGCAGCACTCCGGGTAGCCAGGCTTTCCTCGCAAGCAGCGTGGAACCACCATGGGAGAGAGCCCTCACACCCGCCAAAGTGCCTTACTATATCAAGTAATCGATCTTCCTTGCTCTGCAGCCAGTCACCTTAAACTGACGACCGAATTCCACCCCCCGTTCCAATCCCGTGCCGGCGCGGATCTTAACGCAAGCAAACGAATAATTGATGAGACAGTTGTGATTTGAGACAACAGCAAGTTCGCGGGAGCTCTCCGGAGTAACCGAAAATTCAACGTTCGCGAGAGAATACGCGATTGGACAGCGGAAATACTGAATTCGGATCGAGAAACGAATTCGAACAAAATGTAACTTTGAAGTGACATACTTGTGTCATTTTTCACCTCGACGTTGCAAAGACGTCTTGATCTGTTGGTTTACATTCACAATCGAGAAAATTATATGCATAATAAGTTCCAACGTTTACTTTGCGCGACGGAGAAAATTCAATCTATTCAAATTTGTCGATTCGTTCTTAATTTATAGATATAGATTCATATTTTCTGATTTCAAATTGCATAAACTTTTTTGTGGTCATATAAAAAAGGGTTACAGAGGGCTGTTGACTTTGGATTGTTTAGGATTGCAGCAAATGTGAGAGTAATATATATAGCTCTATATAATAACTAATAGCTAATAACTAATAGCTATATATATATAGCTATAGAGTAATATATATAGCTCTATATAATAACTAATAGTTAATAACTAATAGCTATATATATAGCTATAGAGTAATATATATAGCTCTATATAATAACTAATAGCTATATATATAGCTATAGAGTAATATATATAGCTCTATATAATAACTAATAGCTATATATATAGCTCTATATAATAACTAATAGTTAATAACTAATAGCTATATATATATAGCTATAGAGTAATATATATAGCTCTATATAATAACTAATAGCTAATAACTAATAGCTATATATATATAGCTATAGAGTAATATATATAGCTCTATATAATAACTAATAGTTAATAACTAATAGCTATATATATAGCTATAGAGTAATATATATAGCTCTATATAATAACTAATAGCTATATATATAGCTCTATATAATAACTAATAGTTAATAACTAATAGCTATATATATATAGCTATAGAGTAATATATATAGCTCTATATAATAACTAATAGCTATATATATAATATAAATAATATCTATATATATAGCTATTTCAATATCGTAATTGTGTTCACTTTTGCTCTAAGAATTCACTTTTTCTTAACAAATCAAAATTCACTACAATACACAGGAACGAGTCATTTAACTATTGACACTTTAATTTGCTCTTAAACCTATTTATTGTACCAAAACAATGTTCAAACGCAAGTTGTCGAGTTTGTACTTCAGATAATTAATTTTTGGATAGTCGGCTTTTTTTATCGAGAATGAATTTCGTTTCATAATGTGTATCGTTGTTTATACAAATTGACTTTTGCTTGTTTATATTTAAATCTAATGTTCAATCACACAAATCATGTAAATTAGCCCCCAGCCAGTTACTGCCAAAAGGTTAATATACATATTGTATCCAAAATATTAAGACCGGTTATGTATCAGGGAACAACAAAGATCGTGTTATATTTAAGAATGATTTCATGTATAAAATTCGATCATATTTGAGCATTTGCCTGTTCATCTAAAAAAATCTGTTGTTCCAAAAAATGGTAGTCACTTGAATTGCAGTTTTAAATTTCGATCGCAAGCAGTATTTACAATAAAAGATGCAAGTTAAATTGAACCTTGAAAGAAGTTCAGAATCTCAAACAAAAAATAGTACAACTTATAACAAAGTATAAATTCTTTCCAATGAATTTTTTCGTTTGAAAGGTAATACACATTTGTAAACACGTGAATCTGTTGTTCACCATTCCAAATATATAATAAAACACCCGTCCGATTGGTTCGGACGTTGTAGATTTAATCATAAAGAACCGTTGGATAGATCGCTTCATTCAACCACGTCTTACCGGTCGAAGAGTTTCCCAAGATTTCAAATGTTCCGAGTTTCTCGATCCGTAGATAAATACTTAAAATGCGGCCCGGGCCAAGAATCGCTTGCATTTCGTAAAGATTAAACAAAGTTCTGGACGGGCTCGGCTTGGGCGAACTTCTATCCGCGGGGATCCTTACCGCCAGCGAATTTCATTAATTTCGTAATCCTCCGCTTCCCCGCTAAGTGGTTGGACCCATTTCCTAATCCTGATACGTTTTCAGCCATCAGTCGGAGACCACCCATTGGGATCATCCGAAGATGATAGAGCTGATGTCTTCTCTAGCGGACCTGAACGAAGTACGATTCTCCGCATACAGGACCGCGATGAAGCTGCGCACCGTTCAGAAGCGTTTGTGCCGTGAGTATTTCTGCTGGCTGGCAATCTTCTGTGTAGCATGTATGTATAACTCTAGCTCGTGTGGCACAGATTAGCTTGCTCCAGGCGCGTTCATTAATCGCCACAATTTTCTCGATTAATCATCTCTTGCCGCAACGAACACACCGCAACGTTGTCAATGCGTCTCATCTTCCGCGTTCTATTTTGCTCCGAAAGCTAGTGGGTGCTTGATCATTTCGTTGCCGCATACGTTCCGGCTCCGTGTGAAATGTTCAAAATTCTGGAAAATCATTAAATAGAGTAAACATTTTTGCACAGACAAAATAAATTTCAGGTAACTTAATCGTAATCTAAATGAAGCAGGAAAGTGATGTATGAAAAATGAAATACGCAATCAATATTATAAAAATTAATTCTGTTGATATTTCAATGAATTAATTAATAACTAAGATTTCATAGATACCCGTATATTATAAAAAAATACACACAGTTGTCTATATGTAGGTGTTGTACGCAAATCGTGAAACATTTTTCAGTCGTAATTGATTTTATACAATCGAAGATTATTTCGAATCGGAAGACTATGTATAGAAGTAAATTCTAATTTTACATGACTTATTAACCCTTTGCACTCGAGTGGTCACTCAGAGGCACCACTAAGATTTGTTACATCACGTTTCAAGATACTTTTTATATTAACAAAGTTTAGATTCAAAAAATTGTTAAGAGCGTAACTGTTGTGCAAATCCTAAAAATCAATTTCGTATGCATAAAATGCATTTTATCGTATGAAATAAAAAATACTATAAGTAGTATTTAATACTATAAGTAGTATTTTAATACTATAAGTATACTATAGTATACTTATATACTATATAATAAAAATGATTTTATATTTATAGTTAAAATAGCTTCGAGTGTCGGCCGTTGATTTCATCTAAGATCAAAGAATGCCTTTCGGAACATAGACTTTCTTCCGATTAATCTGAATTCGGTTCTGCGTACTGTACCATGGCAATTACGGATCGGAAAATATTTAGACACGCGAAGCAAATATGATCATCGTTATCAATTATCCTTTCTAGTGGATATGCTGAGCCTCTCCACCGCATTGGAACAGTTCGATTCGCACGGGCTCCGTGCGCAAAACGACAAGCTAATCGACATACCGGACATGGTGACAGTCCTGACGTCCTTGTACGAAGTGATAACAGCTGACAATCCGACGCAGGTGTCTGTGCCGTTGTGCATCGATTTGGCCATTAATTGGCTTCTCAACGTGTACGATAGGTGAGTGCGATCGGTTGTCATTGTTCGTCAAATAATCGAACCGGTCCAAGCTGTAATCCCTGAAATTCTATTGTAGAACAAACGTAACCGATTATTCACTGATCGATTTTTATTTTCCAGCCAACGAACCGGTCAGATTCGCGTGCTCTCGTTCAAAGTGGGCTTGGTCTTGTTGTGCAAGGGCCACTTGGAAGAGAAATATAGATGTAAGCTGCCCCGATACCACTTTTCTCGAAAAACCCCGACGGAATGCTGCGATACAGAATACGAATAACGAGATTCCCAACCGTTTCAGATCTGTTCCGACTGATCGCCGATCCGAACAGATTGGTGGATCAACGGAAACTAGGTTTACTGTTGCACGACTGTATTCAAGTACCAAGGCAGTTAGGGGAAGTGGCCGCGTTCGGCGGATCAAACATCGAGCCCAGCGTCCGTAGCTGTTTCGAGAAGGCTGGAAAAGATAAAAATGAAATAGAGGCGGTGCACTTTTTGAGCTGGTTGCAACAGGAGCCGCAAAGCATGGTCTGGCTGCCTGTGCTCCATCGGCTCTCCGCGGCGGAGAGCGCTAAGCATCAAGCGAAATGTAACATATGCAAAGAGTATCCCATAACCGGGTTCAGGTAAGACCGAATCTACGATCTCACGCGGTTTACGTACACAGCAAATTCGCGCGGCTGTCTATGATATACACGAGCGTATAAACATTTCAGATATCGCTGCTTGAAATGCTTCAACTTCGATATGTGCCAGAACTGCTTCTTCTCAGGCCGCAAGGCAAAGAATCATAAACTGACCCATCCGATGCAAGAATACTGCACTGCGGTAAGTACGCGTATCAATAACCGAGACGAGTTATGTTTATGCTGCTGGAAATCGAGAATTTTTAATGTAGGGGGAGGAA